TTACTGCACATCGACATCACACCTTTAAAGTTGATTTTTCTTCCAGGATAGCCCTAAAAGAGAGTGACAGAATTACAACACTTTTCCATTTCACCATCTCCTCAGCAAAGCACAGCACTACTGCTGAGTGACTGTGGCATCCCATAGAGAAATTCAATCTCAGGTCACAGCGTTAAGAGCTCTTGGTTTTACAGCCCTAAAAGCCCTCTTTGAAATGACCTACATACATTAGATTTCTCTCATGTGTGCATACCTCTTTAAAAGATGCTTAATCCAGTTGTCCTGCATGACAAAAACATAACCAAGAAAGACAATTACAAATGTTGCACAGTATTTGACTGTTACAAAATCTCATTAGCAATGAAGTTACCATTAGAAAAACCATTGCGTGGTTATTTTATTGGGCAGTAGTGTCCCCAGTAGGTTGATTGTTAACAAAGTAGCATATAGAAAACCTAGTGGGAAATTTCTTTATGGTCATGTTCACAGCAAACTGCATTCTAAAAGCCTTGGTAATGACCATCTTATCCCTGTAGGTATCTAAAAAATTACTTGCCACAAAATTTGGGCTTCGTCTTTAATATGGCCCTTGAATTGCAGATTGGAATTATTGATGGCAACTTCAAAATTCCCATCTGTGGAAAAAACTTGTGTTTCAAAACAGAAAGGACAAAACAACTTTGAAAAGCACCTAACTTAGGTTCTCAATGGTTTAATTCAATTATAAAATGTATTTTGGAATAATCCCACTACTGGGGCTTGCTACTTCAAGGGCAGTTAGGGTATGAGGGGAAAACAAGTGCCCAGTGAATACTAAATTTTAATGCATGCATGTTTTAAGTTCCTTAGAGCCTCTGCAGTGTATGGATGGTTCAGAAGGCCTATTATCAGTCAGCTTAATTCAGAGCAGTTGAACATTTTGCTATCATCATAACATCTATCAGTGGCAATTTACTACACATATAATAATGGTTTACAACATTAAAAACTACCTACACACTGCTTTTGAAAGTAACAAGTTAAAAATACTTACCTGAGGACCTGTGGGAATTTAATTTCCTGAAGCAATTTATTGTTCATCCTAGGAGATTATTATAGATAGAAAGCACTTTATACAATACCAAGTTTTTCTAGGAAACGTTTTTCTCATTGCATCTTTTCATCCAATGAGCTTAAGCAAATGTTACAGATCTCACTGTCACCACTGCAATGCACTTACTGTGATGGCAAGCATGACCTGTGTCTCATTTAGCCACAGTGACCAATCGAGACACCAATCAGCAGTGCCCCCTCTCATCTGGATGAGGCAAATTCCTTTCAAAGGACATGCAATATGCAAAAGACTTCTGAATCTCTATCCAAGTTCTTCTGTTACGCTGCCAGGAGGAAAAACAGCAGCTGGAAGCATAGAAAGCCTTACATTTTTAGAGTAGATGGACCTTCTTGGATCTCAAGTGCTGACACCCTAGATACAAAGAAAAGCGTTTTACTATTTATAGCTGTATCAACCTAAACTCATAGCAAGAACCATGAAAATAATGTGTCAATATTAAATACCAGGTTAACATGCACAAAGGCAAGAAAAACCAACGATGCCATGTACTGAATTTCTATGCACTGTCCTTTGAACACACCAGCAGGAATAAACTGCTGAGTGCAGATACCACAGCGCATTTGACTACACTTAACAACCTTCTTAGGTTTTGCACTGCCAGCTGAGAAATTTAATTTGACCCCTTATTTCCAAATTGTCATTCTAAAGGAACCACAGAACTTTTTCAATTAATATAATCCTGGCTGAAGGGATTGCTGAAATGGTAGAGCACGTGCCTCGAAGGTATGAGCCTTGAGTTCATAACTCCAGTTACCCACATGGTGTTAACCCCTTGAAAAGAATGGTATCTAAATACAAACTATATAATCCTAGTCATCTTTATCTGGTCTCCACATAATATGCACATCGAATTAAGCCAAATCACTATAGAGCTTTAGTTTGGTCTTGCCCAATTTGGCAATAGGTTCTCATCCCAGTAGAGCCATAAAATAAAAGGCACACTAGTCAGAATCTTGACATTTTAAACAAGGTCTTCTTATACAGCCCAAACTGACCTCAACGCTTGATTCTCCTGTTCCACTTCATGTTGAGAAGGTATGGGGACAGAACACTGAGCCTGAGTTATCTTACTGTATGTCCTATATGGTACCAAATATTTTGCTGAGCTTCTTATTTTATACCTAAAATAATGTACTTTTAACAGTATTGGAATGCTGTGCTTACAAATTTGTAATTCTTATAATTTCAAATCCTAGAACTTAGGGGTGTTCCCTGAGTTCAATCCTCCTACCAAGAAAAAAAGTCCTTGATAAGTTAGTTAGAAATTATCTCACTTACCCATTTCATCAATGAGTTCAGATCATATTCATTCCTACAGAGAAAGTGCCAAATCAAAGACTTAGAAAGGATACTCAAATACTTCACTATAAAAAAAACTAAGTTTACTCTTTGACCTTAATAGCTATCTCCAGCTCTGTCAGAATGAAGTTTTAATTCATGTCTGTTTCATTCAGCAGTTGAACAATCAAATTCATCATCTGAACTGTGTTTTCAAAGACTGTCCATTAATCACCAACTAAAAACTTACCTATTACACACTAAGGATATGTGGATTTCTGCCAATACCTAAGGTAAACAACATATATATGTATATATATTAGCAGTTCTTTCAAACTTTGTAACTGTCTTGTAATTACTTCCCACAGACCTAAGAAATGGCCCTGTGAGTAAAGCAAAACCACACAATTACTGTATGAGGCGTTTCCAACGATGTGTGGCTATAGTACAGAAGCCCCATCGGGATAGACCTCAATGCTTTTTTTAATAAATTTAAGTACAAAAATTAGTAATTATCAAGAACTGATAAGCTCTGGCAAAATTATGCAAGAATAGCCGTGAACAGGAAAATCTATTTTAATCACAAAAATGAAATCATTTCTATATCTTGTAGAAAACTTGTCTACCCACGTGAGGCCCTGGGTTCAATTTTTAGCATTGTCCATATCCGACAAAAAAAACCTCAAAGTATTTTCTTTTTAATCAAGCTCTTCAGAGAGTGTAGGCCATTAAATAATACCATCAACCAGCTACTTCACATGAACTAAAGATTTAAATACCACTTTCACTGTTTCCCATATTCCACTCCAGATCACCAGTTTTACCTGAGATGAATTTTCACCTCACAAATGGAAAAGTACTTATTAAAATGTTAGTAACTTAGGTGGCTATAACTTAAAAATCAGGTAGAAAGGTGCCAGTTATGCCCTGTAATCCTAGTTACTTGGGAGGCCAGCCCTGGTTTTTGAGACCCCACTGCCAAAATAACCAGATCAAAATGGACTGAGGTGTGGCCAGGTGGAATGCCTTCTCTGTAAGCAAAAAGGCCGAGTTCAAACCCCAGTCTCACTTAAGAAAATATGTAATTCTTAATTTTTACCAGATTTATCTTAATGTATTTAACTTAAATCCCCTAGCTCACCTGACATTAATTCCAGATAAATGTATGCATAAACCCTGGAAACTCAAAAGCTCTTACAAATCCTTTCAAGTAAAATGAACCTGATACTACATACACTATCTGATTGCTTTTTGGAAATGTAATTGGAAATTAAAGCTCTAAGTCTTATAAAATGAAACTTTGGAGACTTGTGTACTTACTACATCTAGACAAGCATGATCCACTCACAGTAAGATGTCTTCAGCTTCAGACCTCAAGTCTCAAATTAGAAGCCTTGAGAAGTTTTCATGCATCACAACATGAATGGTGATTGAACACAACTGAAAGTTATTTTCTTATCCTACACTTTATTCTTTAAGTCAACCTTAATGGCCATCACTTTAAACTGTTAGGTATCCTTATACCTTCTTGTGTGTATCAAAACTCACACTGAACCACGAGTTCTGGGTTGCTAAGAGGATTTATTTTTTGCACCTGAGTCTTTGTCCAGAAGTTAAACAAAAACACACCCAAGTGTTAACCGTGCACTACTCATTCACATTTAACCTTAATCAGCTACACAATGATGATCACAGTAAGAAAAATAGTGACTGAAACAAGCTAAGATGATTTTTTATGCTGCTGGGGATTAAGTTCAGGACCTTGAAATTCAGGATCTGTAATTCACCACTACATTCCAGCCAAAATTCAATTCTTACTACAGTAATGTTACTTTCATCTGAAAAAAGTTGGTATAATAGGATGCTGGTAGAGGTTGGACATCGTGGCGCATACACATATAATCCCAGCATTCAGGAGACTAAGGCAAGAAAGATCATGAGGCCAGGACCAGCCTGGGCTACATAGCAGACCTTGTCTCATTTAAGAAACAAAGTGAGCTGGAGGCCCAGCTTTAATCAATAGTGTGCCTACCTAGCAAGCTCCAAACACTGTCCAAACCCCAATACTGCCAAAAATAGAAATTGAAATATGAAAAAACAAACCAGAAGAACTTGGCTGGATGTCAGTCATGTTTAACTAGCATTTTCTTTTCAGGATTAAAATCTCTTCGTGTTTCAATGGTTTAGTAAAACCTGTTAAGTTTCTTACACTGAAATCAATAAGCACTGACAAAACAGCCAGACTATTATTTAAGAAGCAATGTCTCAGCTTTTTCCTAGTGTTTTAAAGTTTATGATTCTTTAGTTGTTTTCACCATCTTCTTCAGAAGGTTCTCATTCTTCTTAGGATGTTCTTGGTTTAAAACTTCTTCATCCCCAGGGTGGTATTAACCTTTGATCATTTCTTCCTATGAAGTCACTTTCACTGCATGTTCCTTGATATTCACATTGTCTCCTTTTCAGGCCACTCTGTCCTCTGTCCAGTATTTTTAGCCTTAGAAGTTCTCTTAGACCATTGTAACGTCGTCATTCTCTTGTTCTAAATATACCTTCATCTTCTTTGGGAATTCAGAACTTATTATGAAACAACTGTCCTCCTACTACACACACACACACACACACAAAAACACCATTAATAACTAAGCTAGGAGGTGTGAATTCAACTATGATATATTCTACGAACTTCTGTAAATGTCACAATGTCCCCAATACAACAATATAAAAATAAATAAGCTAAATAACTATACTAATTACTGGGAACTGTAAATTATACCTAGGTTTAAAAACTCCCAAGTTAACATCTACATATTTTTTCATTTCATGGTTTAAAAACACTACACATTGCAATATTCATTACAAGTATTTAGGGATGCCAACCACCCATGGCTCATGCCTATAATCCTAGCTACGTGAGACACTGATCCAGAGGACTCAGAGTTCTGCCCATGCAGGTGAGACCCCATCTCCAAAATGACCAGAGCAAAATGGTCTGGATTTGTAGCTCGAGCAGTAGAGTACCTTCTTTGCAAGCATGAAGGCCCTGAGTTGAAACCTCCCCATACCATAAATAAATAAATAAAATTGGGGGCTGGGATAGCTCAGGGTGAAGTGCTTGCTTAGTATGCTTAAGGCCTTTGGATTGCTCCCCAGGAAAAAGCCCATATTAGCAACTATTGAAAAAACAGCATGTGTATTCTTACATTTCCTGCATTAAATTTATTCAGTGTTTCAAATTTTAAGTGGACTAAAACTTAAAACTACTGAATGTTAATTCCTCCTGTACCAACAACTCCTACCTTCCTTGAATGAGAGTAAGTCACTTACTACCAATTTGATATCACATTCATCATATTCAGGATGTGCCATCTCATCTTCTGCTCTGTAACATGGAAATGTGTATTTTAAATGACAAATCTTCTGACCTAGTTAGACACTGTCAACATACAACTGTAACACGAATACTAGTCAACAAAAAACACAGTATTCTGTTTAACACCTAAAATGGATGTCTTATGCCCTGAGCTCAGGTTCAAGTATAGTTCTAACTTGCCTATTGTTTGTGTTTCCTATCTATGTATCAGAAACACGGATGGCAATACACAGTAAAGTTTATATTAGACAAAAACCAATGACCAGTGTTCTTACGTGATTCAACTTACGCTGACTCTTCAATAGGAGAAATGGATCCATCATCATCCAAATATTTATGTCTACGGCTATCAAGATCTTCTTTTTCTAAATCTTCACCGACATTCATTTGTTTCAGGGATTCCTTGAGGTGGTATTCATACTTCAGTTTCTCGATGTGGTTAAAAAATCCTCTTGCAACAGCTTGCTATTAAAAACACTTTTATGCCTTAGTCTTAACAAAATTAAAGTTTTGTTTGAAGAATCAGCAGATGCTTTTCAACAAAAGGTGAACATATCCTTACACCTGAATTTTGACTTAACCACTCTAGAGTTCTGGATGACAGCATATCAACGGTTTGCTATAATCACCTTAAGCTTCAAGGGTTTTCAAGTACTAATCCTCTGAAACAAAATTAGTTTCTGTCAAGAAAACTATATTAACTATACACTAATTCAACATTTACTGCTTGAGATATTTGGCCAAACTTAATGTAATTAGGTTACTTATCAAGGAACTGCTAAAAACATCCAAGCTTTATCAAAAAGTTATCTGCTGAACATGAATGACTTGAGATACTTCAGGGCTAGGCACCAGTGGCTCACACCTGCAATCCTGGATCCCAGGAGGGTCAAATAATTCACGGAGACCCTATCTCAAAAATACCCAACACACACAAAAAGGCTGAGTGGCTCAAGTGGTAGAGCACCTGCCTAGCAAGTGTGAGGCTTTGAATTCAGACCCCAGTACTGAAAAGGGGAAGGAAAAAAAAAAAAAACAACAGGATGAGGGTAGGGGTCTTATATATAAACAAACTTGGAGTACTACTTTTTAAATTCCTGTTTCACCCAGACACCCAAATGAAGTTTGAGCTGAAGGGCTGAGTGAGCTTTACATGAAAAACAATATAGAAAAAGTAGTCTCAAAACTGCAGACTACGTCCCACGTGTATCTTAAGCCAATTCTTTAAACGTCCATGACCTCAGACATTTTACCTATGTGAAATCTAGCCATATATATATAAAATAAATAAATATTGATCACCTCAAAGGTTAAAATTTTCCTCCATGGTAATGGTTTTCTTCCATTTTCACACTGTAAAAATGGGAATCCGGTTCCTTTGTCTTTAATTTGTTTCAAATCTATTTGTGATGACCTTCTAGTGCTTCTACTTCCTTTTGGTCTTCCTCTTGGTCTTAATTTTCCTCTATTTTGTCTGTTGTATTTCCTCTTTTTACGTTTCTTGTTCTTGAATCTTTCAAAAATAGCTTTTAAAGTCAATAGTCTTGGTTCTAAAGATGAGTCACTTGATGAATCTGTATGAAGACTTTCAGGTGAATGATCAAATTTTCTAAGGGAATTTCTTTGTCTCCGTTTAGGAGAGGAAGGAATACATTGTGTTTTAAATAAGCTGCTACCAGATGAAGAGCTGTCACTAGAAAAACAAAAGTTTTTTACTGAATGATCACTCAATCCCACGCCTATAGTTCTAAGACCAATTCATTAACACATGCCTAGAATAAATAATTTTAGAACAATGGGCTGAGAACCAACCAGCCACTGTGTACTGACCATAACCAAAATGAACACAGCAATTGTCCAGATGTAGTGGCTCATGTCTGTAATCCTAGCTACTCAAGAGGTGGAGATTGGGAGCATCTGCGGTTCAGTGAGACTCCATTTCAACCATTAAAACCTTGGGGGCATGCACCTGCCAGCTCCAGTGAACGCAAAACAGGAGGAAAGGGCCTGTGGTTCAACCAAGTGGTAGACTGCCTGCCTAGCAACTCCAGGCCCTGAGATCAATTACCAGTACTGCTCCTCCTCCCTCTACAAAGACTATTTTATGGAATACAACCTCCCTAAAAGTTGTCTAGTATCTTCTCAACAGCACAGTAAATGGCGAAACTTAAGTCAGGAAGAGATAACCAAGAAAATGTGTTGATTCCCTAAGCTAAAAATGTGTTCCTCTATAATATATTCAGACTTTGAATTAAACTGTTTGTCATAACTAAACGACATAATTAAACTTAGAAAGGCCAGTGTTACCCACTATTTTCTTTCCCAATTCCTTACCACCAATCATATACAATTATGTACTTTCCCTAATAATCAAATACAGTAAATGTTGACTGAGCTAGTCAGTCCTTGTAAATGTCTATTTACCTTTGGTTTTCAATTTCCACAGCTCTATCAGATGACATGTAGTCAAGAGAATCCATTTCTGATTTAACCATCACTTGCTCTTTACCCTTGAAGCTTTCTGAAATTACGAAACACAGTGTACATGATGTAGCTTCAATAAGTAAATGCTGAAGCATACCAGTAGTACTGAACACATCTAATATTCAAGGTCAAGGTCAGCAAAGGCAGATCAAATGACTATGTGAATCAGGGCCAAAATCATTTCCTAGGCAAGATCTAGAACAGTCCACTTCAGATGAATTTCCATTCACAAGCTCTTTCCATTTTTGTTCTCTAAATGTATTCAATCCAAGTCCTGTATTTCCAAGAAATGTATCTGAGTACAAAAGATTTTATCACCAGCCATAATGTAATGTACAATTACTGATAATACGATAATGTGGCCAAAAAGCTATTTTCCAAGGTAGGGGAACTCCAAGGAAAAACTTACAGGCACAATGGACCTGCTGTATACCAGGAAATATCCTTAGGTTTGAATATCCATCCAATGCACTTTAAAATTTCTGGTATGGAATTGTGTCATATTACATCTTTGCTGTACTGACAGAAACTGAGCTCATAACTTTTCCACAAACTAATCATACTGATGTTTTCTGTCTCCACCTTGTACCCAATGCAGTGCATGTAACAGCTGTGGGGGGAGCCACTGTGACATTTACAAATGTGCTTACAGTATTATCTTAATTACATTCACCCTCCGTCATTCTCTCATCCCACTTCTCCCCTTCTTAAAACAATTTCAGCTTTCATTGTTCTACTTTCTAACATGAATATAAAATACATCCGCCATATTCGCCCTCCCCCCTCCCACTGCAATCCAAGTTTTTTAAAGCTAATGGTCACTATTTCACTATTGCATCTCCCTAGGTCTTTGTGTTTGTAATGGTTTATTCTTTAACGTAATTGAAAATTTACATTGAAGTCCTAACAAGTTGGAAAATGACAAAATATTCCAAATACAGGAAGACGACATGGTCACTTAACAATTTTAACACTGGGCATTTTATTAGTTTTTTTAAAGGCAAAATTCTCAAAGTTATGAGACACCAACTGTTCACGCCTATAACCCTAGCTTCTCAGGAGGCAGAGATCAGGAGGCTCGCGGTTAGAGGCCAGCCCGGGAAAACAGCTGGCAAGATCTTTATCACAATAAAGGCCTAGTGAGTGGCTCAAGTGGTAGAGCGCCTGCCAGCAAGCATGAGTCCCTGAGTTCAAACCCTAGTGCCGCCAAAAAACCCCTAACATTTGGTCCGTTAGCACTAATGGAATAGCTGTAGCTACATTTCTTTTTAAGGGCATATGACAAATACACCTTGAACTAGCTCAAACCCTCTTCTGGAATTCTGAGATTTTTACAGGCCACGTGTCCAGAAGTGACACCTTCCCGGAGCTATCAAGTACTACCTTGGGCAAAAGCCTCCCTTAAGCACCTACCCTCTTGCAAGGAATACGGCGTCGATAATGGTGCCTGAAAATCAACGTAAGACCTAAGACATTTACCACCTGGGCGGCACAATGAGTCACGCCCGCACCGCCATCGCGCCACGGGGGCTCAGCTCACCCCTAGTGCCCCGGAGCCCGCAGTCCCGGTGCCCCGCCTCGTCCTCCCCAGACGGGAACCCCCAGGCGCACCCTCGGTAGCGGCAGCTGGCTGACCTGCTTCCTGAGCCCGCGGAGGTCGGAACCAGGCCGCACCCACCTCAGCTCGCCATCGCGCACGCAGCCGCCAATTTCCTCAGACCGCGCGGAAGAAAACCACGCGCAGCACCTGCCACCCAGCTAAGACGTCCGCCGAAATCTCGCGAGACTACTCAGCTTTCGGGAAGGGGGAGGAGAGAGGAGGCGGAAGGGGAGGAGCGATGAGGGGCGGAGTCTAAGCCCCGCCAGAGGGGCGGAGTTGACTGAGCAGAGGAGGCCGCTCTGTGGCCGGGCTCTTCTAGCCGATGCGGTAAGTGCAGTTGGCAGTCATGTTTTGACAAGTCTTGGGTCAGGTGAGCCTGACGGAGCCGGGCCCCTGCCTGTGCCAGGCCGGCCTTCTGGAGTGTGCGCGGCGCCCGCACGCAGTCCGTGTTAGGTGGAGCTCGTACGTTCCAGGACGGCCGGAGCCCAGCCAGCCCTCCCTGAGGCTTCTGGTTACAGTGTAAGTTTTACACTACCTTAGTTTAGGGTCGGTTCCCCCACCCCCCGAAAAAAAGCAGTTTGTTTTTTTTTAATGAAGGAATAAACTGGTTTGTTTTGCCCTTGAAGCCTCTTGTACAATTAAGCAGGAAATTCTTAGTTTATTGTCTATTCTTAGTTTAATAGCGAATGTCATTTTAGAATAGGACAGACATGAAAGAAATATGGGCTCTTTGCTTCAAATACTGAACAATTCCAGGACAAAAAGTCTGATCCGGACAGCCAGGGCATTGCATCCACTCTGCAATCACTGTCAGCTCTAGGACGTCATCGCGTGTCCCGCTGTCACATTCACACTAGTCACAAGCAGGAACGCTTGCCTGCAGGCCCAGCCATGTGATTTGTAAGGCCCAATGCGAAATGACAATGGAAAGAAGGGGAGAAGTGTCATTACAGGTACGAAAATAGCCAGGTGTGATGGCGGGTACCTATAGTCCCAGCACTTGGGAGGCTGAGGAGGATCAAAGCTGCCCTATAGTGAGGTCTTGTCCCCCCAGAAACGTACTAAAATATAAGCTCCTTCACCTATGGAATTGCCCTGATGTGTTCTGGTGTTTTAAATTTTGCTATTTTAGCCTGGTGCCAGTGGCTCAACACCTAATCATAGCTACTTGGGAGGCTGAAATCAGGAGGATTGACGTTAAAAGCCAGCCTGGGCAAATAGTTTGCAAGACTCCATCTTCAAAATGGGCTGGAGGTGTAGCTCAAGTGGTAGAGCACTTGCTTTGCAAGTGCAAAGTCCTGAGTTCAAACTCCAGTCCCACCCCACCCCCCAAAAAAGTACTACTTTAATGCCTTTTCAAGTAAAGAAAAATTAAAATTATTATCATTACTTTACCATTTTCTTTATATTATGTAATACTAGTTTTAAATACAGGTATAAGGACATTTAGCTTGTATGCATAATCACTGAAATGTCACAGTATTCATGTCCCAGTATTTCATAGCTCATACAAGCATATGTATTTTGTTCTTGCTATAACAGTGGAAATGCAGTACACAACTAACTCACCTGTTTTTATTTTACTTCTTTTTCCCGCAGTACTGGGGATTGGACCAGGGCCTCCTGTATGTTAGGCAAGCACTACCACTTGAGCTAAGTCCCCAGCCCTTTTCTTTTTATTTTGTTTTTGAGATTGGGTTTCATTATCTTTTGCCCAGCTGGTCTCAAACTCTAAATCCATAAGTTTTTATTTCTTTTTTTTAAAAGAATTTTACTTCTTGATACATGTACATTCTATCAACATTCTATGGAATCTGGCAACACTGGGTCTTTTTTGGGTTTTTTTTGACAGTACTGGGGTTTGAACTCAGGACCTCACACTTGCTAGGCAAAGGCTCTACCACTTGAGCCACTCCACCACCCTTTATTGTGTTGGGTGTTTTCAAGATAGGGTCTCTCAAACTATTTGTAAGCTGGCCTTGAACCACAAGTCTCCTGATCTCTGCCTCTTGAGTAGGTAGATTACAGGCATGAGCCATCAGCTCCTGGTAACATTGAGTCTTCATGAGCTTCCACACCTTGTAGATCCAACAGCATTCTGTGCTAGTGGGGCATTACAGTCACCTAATATGAATGGGGTGGCAACCATAGGAAGACCCATACACTGCACCTCTCTCCTCGGGTCCTGCTCATGTTTCACTGACCTAACAGACTTCACTTAGACAAAACACAAGTTCAAATGTAACATTGTTGGATAGGGGTTTAGCTCAGTGATACAGCACTTGCCTAGAATGTGCGGCCTTGAGTTTGATCCCCTGCACTACACATACACACAATCTATCTACCTATCTATCTGTCTGTCTACCTACCTACCTATCTATTTAACTGTGCACACTCATGCATAGTTAAGAATTTTAATACGGTGACAGCATATTCATATATAAATATGGTGACCCTGTATGACTGACTGCATTACTTGCATACCCACAAAGGCAGCCCTGTCTTAGAGCCTTACAAGTCTGGTAGATCGTGAACATTTAATAAATAATTGAGGGCCAGGCACAGTGGCTTATACCTATAAACCCAGCTATTCAGGAGGCAGGGATCAAGTGGATTGTGATTTGAGGCCAGTCAGGGCAAAATTAGAAGACTGTATCTGAAAAAGCACAAACTGGGGGCATGGCCTTAAGTGGTAGAGCACCTGCCTAGCAAGCACAAGGCCTTGAGATCAAACCTCAAGTACTGCCTAAAAATAAAAAAGTAAAAATATAAGTAGACAAAGAGACTGAACTAGTACCCACTGCATGCTAGGTACATGGAAGACTGATAAGAGATCACAGTCTAGGGGGAACAAGCAAAGCAAACATAATCACAGTTAAACTCAAGAGTGCTATACCTGTACTACCACCCTGCCTTGTTTGCCATTGGCCTACCTGAAGTTCTGCATTTCTAATCCAGTTATTCAGGCTGTAACCTCCCAGGGTTGAACTTTGTTTCTGTTTGGAGTGGAAATAAAACAAGCAAACTGACTGACCTTTTAGAGATAATAAAGGATTTTATATTAGTTCTTATTTCTACAGTAAGCATAAATACATAAAGTACCTTTTTTTTTTTTTTTTTGCAGTGCTGGGGTTTGAACTCAGGGCCTTCACCTTGAGCCACTCCACCAACACGTTTTTGTGATGGGTTTTTTTGAGATAGGGTCTCACAAACAGTTTGCACAGTGTTGACTTCAAACTGTGATTCTTCTGATCTCTGCTTCCTAGGTAGCTAGGATTACAGGTGTGAGCCACCAGGGCCCAGCTCTAAAGTGCTTTTTATTAACCTCATTATGGATAAATATACTAAAACCAGGCATGGTGTCATGCCTATAATCCCAGCATTGGTTGGGGGAGGTATTAGTCAGTCTCTACTAGGTAGCAAGACCCTGTCTCCAAAAAAAAAAGACACTAAATGAATATACTATTCATTGTATAGAGTGTAGACTTTGACATGTTCATAAATAAGTAAGTACCTGCTGGTTGCCTCATAAATAATATAATAAAATGTTAACATTTGGGAAATCTGAGTTAAAAGTATGTAGGAATTTTTTTCTGTGGTATTAGGATTTGAATTCAGGTCCTTAAGGCTTGCTAGGCAGTGCTCTACCACTTGAGTCACTCCAGCAGCTTTATAGGAATTATTTGTAATATGTCAATCTGAAAGTATTTCAAAAGAAAATGAAAATGTCTTACTCTTAGAAACAATTTTAAATTATTCAACTCAAAAATGTATTTAAGGTAATTGAAGTATGATTATATAGCACTTGGGGTCCATAATCAATAATTATTTATATTTAATTTGGAAGACAGATTATTATTTATTTGCTTTTTGGTGGTTCTGAGGTTTGAACTTAGGGTCTTGCACTTGCTAGGCAGATACTCTACCACTTGAACCACGCCCCAGAGTTTTGCTTTAATTATTTTTCAGATAGGGTCTAGGATTTTGCCTAGGGCTAGCCTTGGACCAGCAGTCCTCCTGCCAGTGTTTCTTTACAGGTCTGTGCCACCATGCCCATGTTGTTTGTTGAGAGGCGGTCTCACTAACTTTTTCCTTGGGTTAGCCTCAAACTGCCATAGTCCTGATCTTTGCCTCCTGAGTAGATTAGATTATAGGAATGCACTATGCCCATCTCAGCTTATGTATATTAAATAACAAAAGGACAATAAAAACTAGTGGTTGATAAAGTGCTAAAGTAAAGGTCACTTGTCTCAGCTTCCCTGGAGGCTAAGGAAGTAGAAGGATGCCTTGAGTCCAGGAGTTCCTGCTACCTGGGCAACATAGGGAGATCTGTCTCTTACCAAAACAAAACAAAACAATGTTAAATATCAAGTCCTTAATGTATGCCATAGCAAATTTATGGATGATACATTGTTTGGAAACGTCATCAAAAGTAGAAATCCAGTTTCTAAGAACCTATGAGTCTGGAAGATTTAAAAAAAGTTTGCAAGACTATTTCAAGTGATTGTGAGGGACCACATTTGCTGAGGAAGCATGATAAAACTGAGACTGCTCAGATTAGTGAGGTGTTCTATTAACAATTTTGGCTCATGTTCCAGCAGTGCTCTTAGAAACAAATGCCCTTAAGAGTTGTCTGTGCGCCTTGTTTCCTGTTGTGATTGGTCTGGAGTGAAATTCCTCCACTCACCTTTTATTTTTTTTCTTTTCCCTGTTTCATTTTATTTATTTTACTGCGCTTATATACCTCATCACTTGAACACTTCAGGTAAGTCTTAATCTCTACATATGTATACCTATTTGCTATAATCTTTATGTATGTATACCTATTTACTATCTTAGTGTAAGATAACAAATTGGTTATATTATCAGAAAAATTGAATATTAAATCTGCTTGCTATGAAAGTATATTTATTTGTAACTTAAAGTAAAAATTTGAATTTCAGAAGCTAATTGTGCCATAGGTTTACATTTTTATTGGTAACTTAAAATTTCTTTTGTAAAAATAATAGTTTAAGAAACTTAATTTTTAGTTTAAAAGTCAAATGTAGATAAGATACACAAATTATCTATTATAGAAATTCTTATATATCTGTTGTTACATATATATATAGGTATATATTTCATATATGTTAAAACATACATTTGTTACAACCATTTAAACATTTATTCATAATCTTTAGTAAGTACTTTTTGCTTCACGACCCATTTTCCTGGGTTGGTGAAGTGGCTCAAGTAGCAGAGTGCCTGCCTTGCAAGCATGAGGCCCTGAGTTCAAACTCCAGTACTGCCAAAAAAAAAAAAAAAAAGACTGACTCATTTTCCTTAGGTCATCCATTAGAAACTTGCAGGTTCTATCAAGGTAAGTGACCAAAGAAATGAATTGTAAGTGCTATTTTTTTATTTCTCCTTTGGCATTTTCTCTTGTCAGTCTATTTTAAATATTAATCATTTAAAATAACAGTATTGGGCTAGAAGTATAGCTCAGTGGCAGAGTGTTTGCCTAGTGTTCATGAAACCCTGGGTTCTATCCCAGCACTACAAAAAGGAACACAGTAGTATTAAGAGAGGTCACTTGTCTGTTGCTCATTTGGAACACTGAATGCTAGCATCTATGGTTTCCCTTGTTGTGTAACTAGACTCTGTGAGGATAGAAGAGTCTAAATGCCCTTTGCTCTCTTTGGGTAACTGAACTCTTAAATGCTCATTTCCAGAGCAGTGACTGATCAAGCTTGGTGCACTGTGAGCTTTTGTGATCATTTTCCAGCAATAGCTTTATTTGTACAATCTCACACCTGAAGAAGAAAGAAAAATGGCTTGTACTGAATTTTCTTTTCATATGCCAAGTCTAGAGGAGTTTGCTGAAGGTAAAAACAATACTAACTGCATTTCTAAGAAGTAGTCCAAGAAAAAAATTAAAAGATTCTAACATATATATGTAGCCTACTACTTATCTTTACCTGTATTTTACTTATTGGAATGGTACTTTTGATACAGAGTTTTCCATTTCATTATCTGTTCTGTACTGATTTTATTGAGAAAGTTCAATTTCTGGGGTTGTGTTTTAGGGGGATGGGAAAGTTCAAAATTCTGTCCCTCTAAAAAAGCTAAACTCACCATTTATAGATTCTTGATGATACCAACTTTTACAATGAAAATGACTATAGTACTCCGAGGTTTAAGTAAGTATAATGCCCAAAGAGTTGCAGAATTTTGCGATAACTTTTTGCCAGTTACAATATTCTGCAGATACATAATCTCCTATTGTGTTTTAATCACGTTCCCAAGCATGCTTCTTTTTCCTGGTGTCCTGGAGTTTGAATGAACTCAGGGCTTAGAGCTTGCGGAGAGACATCCTCCAGTCCCCTCCTTCTGATTTGAGAGACAGCCAGTACTCTGCTTAGATTCCTGTGTGTTTTATGTATTTTACCTTATTAAACAATTTAAAGCAGCTTCCCGAGATCATTTAGAAGGAGGGGAGATGGATGAGAAAAGGAAAAATGGGGACATAAAATTAAGCCAGGAATACTACTAATCCAAAACTGTAAAGTCTGTTAGAATTCTGACATTTACCTGACAGCCTTTTAAGCTTTATGTAGAACTCTCCCTTATTTCTCAAGAGTGTATTTTCCCAAATAGTTAATCAGTTTTCTGTTCTCCTAATAAGAATGAAGTCAAGAAATATACTCATTTTTTGTTTTGTTGTTGCTTTCCTCTTACAAGCTTCCTGTTTTGTTTCCTAATTGAGTAGTAGCTAGTAAATAATCCATCTTGCTAGTATTTTTTGACCTACCAGTCATTTGTTTTCCCTTACAATACAGCTAGGGATCTTTTCTTTCAGTGTCTTTCTCTCTCTCTTCTCTCGCTTTTGTATGTGTGTGTGTGTGTAGTATTGGGATTTGAACTCAGGGCACTCTACAGCTTGAACCACACCACCAGTCCATTTTGCTCTGGTTGTTTTGGAGATGAGTCTTTCAAACTATTTGCCTTGGCTGGCCTCCAGCCATGATTCTCTTGATCTCAGACTCCCAAGTAGCTCCCAGGTGTGAGCCACCTATGCCCAGCTTATGTCTGGTTACTTTAGTTCAGCATTTGTCTGTAACCTTCATTGAAGTTATGGCATGTGATTCCTTACTTTTTAAAAAACTTAAATATTTACATTTCAATAGGTTTTTAGAATCCCTTCCCCCAAAGAAAGCCCTCACAGGTGTGCAGTCTGTTTATCTTCAGTGGTTGGTAATCACTGTGGATAAAATATTTATGTGCTTTAGTATATCTTCTAATTATACCAAAGTCTAATTATATTCATTAATAAAACCATTTCTGGGGCTGTAGGTCAGTGGTAGCGCATGTGCTGAAGCACATGGATAAGGCCTTAGGTTCCATCTCCAACACCATCAAAACAAGAAAAGAGCAGGGTGCCAGTGGCTCTGTAATCCTAGCTATTTAAGAAGCAGAGATTAGGAGGAAATTGGTTCGAAGCCAGCTGAGGCCAATAGTTCTAGAGACCGTATCCCAAAAAAAACCATCACAAAAAAAGGCTGTTGGAGTGACTCAAAGGTATAGGCCCTGAGTTCAAACCCCAGTACCACACACAAAAAAATTTTTTCCCCTTTTTTTATTACATAAATTTAGGCTAACAGTGTGACACATAGAAAATTTAAAGGAATACTTGGTATATGGTGACCACATTTTTACCTAATGTTAAATAATCCTTTTTTATGTCTTTATTAGTTATGCAAAAGGGGCTAAAAGATAACTTTGCTGATGTGCAGGTCTCTGTAGTTGATTGCCCTGATTTGACTAAAGAACCATTTACCTTTCCTGTAAAAGGTAAGCAGGTTTTTGTTTCTTGTTTGTTGTGTTTTTACATGCTTTTGGTTTTCAATCATAATCTTTTTCTAAAGCCAGTGTTATTTTATCTATAAAAAAATATATATTGTTACAACTTTTAGGCTATATTTTGACTAATTTCTGTGCTTATTGCTTTTAGATGTTGGAAATTTCATTTTATACCCATGTGGGAAAGACTGTGTTTTATGTACTTTCAAAACCTTCATGGCTGCATAATAGATACTTAATGGCTACAATCTTGATACCACATGAAAGTTTTGTTTTTAATTGTTCAAGTGACTTTTATGGAAACTAACTTTACTTTTTAGTTTTATTTATTCAATACTGGCTATATTTGATTCATCTATTAAATACTTCTAACCCTTTAACAAATTTGCCACGTTACCATCCACTGTTTGAAGTGAGAAGGGAAGGAAAATAACATTGGTTGAGTAAAATAGTCAGTGTTATAGATAACTATATATGATGGCTTAGTTTTTACAGTGATACTGCAAGGTAAAATACTAACTCCATTTTATAGATGAGAGCTGTGAGGGCTGAGAAGACTCAATGTGATCATAGGATTTAATGCAGGTCTATCTGTTTCAGAAGTCTAATCTTCTCCCATTACCTTACTATGAAGAGTTTGGAGGTAAACGCATTATTCTCTATTATGAAAATTGACATATTTTATTTAAAGGTTATTTGCCATAGAATTCCTGGAGCCTAGTTCTGTTCTGACACATACAAATTTCATTACCCGGAATAAGCCGCTTAATGTAGCTTACCTCATAGATTAAAATTAGGGATTTCAGATGACTGTCCTTCTTGGGTTTTGCAGCTTAAACATTCTATAATTACATGTTTGCATTCTAGAAAGTTTGTGTATCTGATAGCAATTTCTTAGCACCTTGAAAATTATTTGGAATAGTATTGTTTCTTCAGCTTCTTCTCTATCTGTGGTTTTTCCATCTATCTTGTGGTTTCAGTCATTACCTGGCGAAAATAATTTAAATCATAGTGTAATAGATCTTTTTCTTAGTTTATAATCAGTATTTCTGGCTGCTGTAGGATACTCACCTGTAATTTCCTCTTCTTATCTCTACAGTCATCATGGTTAGCTATTATTTCTATGCACTAAAACATTCCCTAATGGTTTCTCTACACTTCAGCATCACTGTCACTTAATGAAAGTCTTGTCTATGCATTTCTGCTGATTCCATGGAAACATTTCTAAATCCCAGTTACAAAAGGGACCTATAAGACTTTTTATGTACCTATCTGCATAGCTGAAGAAATAGAGCAATTAAATGTACTTTGCTGTGTAATATCTTAGCATAAAACTGGCAAGCCTACTTTCTCAAATGATAATTATTTGCCACTACACTTTAAAAAAGTTCTTTGCCCAACTCGTTCTAGCTGTATTAATGATAATAATTAAAATGTAAGCAGAGGATGGAGGTGTATTCAGTGGTAGAACTTGTCTCAGTAGACTCAAGGCTTGGGGTCAGGAATCCCCAGCACCAAAAAGAAAAAAAAACAAGTTAGAAAAGCTCTAGCCTGTAACCTTATCTGTTATTAGTTTCATTTGCATCACATCTTGGGAATAAACAATTT